CTCTTGAAATACAACTCCCTTCACTGCGAGTCGTTATTCACCAAGGAATAATCGAAAGATGATGGAGTCAAGCTTTGGCATCAAGAATTGGATGCACTCGATGAAAAGAGGCTAGAAGCTCAATAGAACCTTGAACTCAACCAAGGGAGAATGAAGAGGGCTTTTGACAAATCTGTCAAGATCTACTCATTCACCTGTGGTGATCTAGTCTTGTAGACACCCCGCTTTGAATCTAAAAAGTTCTGTGGTTTTCTTGGACCCATAGGATCACATTGACTTAGTGATCCAAAAATCCATAGGTCACACAACTTACCCTTGGACCCAAAATCATTGTGTCAGCTCAGAAACCCTGTTACACCCTATTCTGTCTTGGGAGACACTACCCGTGTCGCCCAAATGCGCTTTCACTAGAACGTGTTTTTACACATTCTCACTCGTTTCCCCTACTTTCTAGGTCATTTATCTTGGGCGTGGGGCCCGAGGAAAGCTATCCATACCTCCCAAAATTTCTTTTTTTTTTAAATTCGAATGGTGCTGACCGAGGATTTGTTGGTTGAGGGGATAACACTACCCCAACAAATCCCTTGTTCATAACAACCATCTCAGTGGTCATTTGAGGGGTGGAGACAAAAACTCTGGGAGACTTTAGAAACTTGAGAGACTTTAGAAACTTTAGGCTAGAAAGATAAACCTAAGAGATGCAGAGCGAACCTTTACCCAGCTCTGCACCTCAAATCTAAACTCAGCCTAGATCCAAAACTAGGGTACAACCACCCCAATACTATAGATACTCTCTGATCATCAACACATGAATCATAAGGTCAAAGAGGAACCAGTTCTGATACGGGCAAGCTCTCAGGGCCTCGAGAGTCCTGGGCAATCCTTCCCTGTCAGGTACTCATTCTCCCTTCGTTTCTTATTTATTTTGTTTTATTTTTTTTTTTTATATGATTTTTTTTTTTTATTGAAAATCTTGCTTTGAAATGCTTCGGATCATGCTAGCTCCGCCACAGATCTGAGAGCAGGTCTGCTCGTTTCCGTGCAGATCTGATCTCAGATCTGAATTAAATTGTTCCCACTTTCTCTACCATATATTTTCATTTTCATTTTTATCAGTTTGAAGTTCCATATCATGGTGATCTACATCGTTAGATTTCTCGATTCTGCGCTGTAAATAGTTTGGCGCCCACCGTGGGGCAAATCGAGTGTGATCCAAGCATCAAAATTTCAAAAAACTCATAATCTTTTCATACTTCGCAAAACTGTTCTAAGTACCATTTTGTGACTGTCCTAGCTTTTACAATTTTTCCATTCGGATGATCAACATGGGAAGTACAGATACCTAGGTAAAACACTCACGCTTCAAAGCCCTCTCTTTCAAGGAAAACTTTTATGGAAGGTTAGACACCTCAATATGTAGAATTGAGGTGCACCTCTAAAATCCTTTGAAAAAGGTTGTTTGGATGTTAGAAAAATATATGATTGACCATCTCGACACCGAGATGTCTAGATACAAAGAAAAAAAGAGATTTCAAGTCTTAAAAATTGTACATTTTTCAACACGTTATTTTGACCATCCATTTTCAAGATTTTCATACATTTATAAATTTACTTGATTTGAATAATTTTGGAGTTCAAAATTTATCGCACCATCCTAAAAATTTTCGACACCAAAATTACATTTCATGAAAAAGTTTTGAGGTATACCTTAATTTGATTGTTTAATGCTGCAACCCTATAGAAACCACACTGATAAATAAAATAGCCTTAATAACAATAACTCTAATTTAATCTCCTTACACTTATCAACCCAAATTAGCACAAATCACGTAAAATAGTCCCATCCAAGTCCCAATGTTTAAAAAAAAAACAAGCAGGTCATCTCCTTAATTTGGTTTGCATCATATTCTGAGGCCTAGCAAAAGGAAAAACAATCCAAATGGGAACATAGCTGCTCTTGGCGGTGACCCATAGCTGTGTAACTGTGGCGTCGTATCAAGGGATCCAATTCCACTTAAGTTCCCTACCCCAAAAAGATAAGTGGTCTGAAGCCTCGCCCAAAAAGATATAACTGTGGCGTCATATCAAGGGATCACACGAATCTCATTTCTAGGAACCCTGAAATTTGCCTGACCTTTTAGTTTTCTGAATTTTTTATTTGAAATTGGTGAGTGAATTGGGTAGAATACAATGAGAACTGACAATCTTCTTATTTTCATTCATAAACCTTTATTCTCACAGTATAACATTTGCTCCATGCTGATCAAAATCAGTTTTGATCTAAGTTTAAAACTTTATTCTCACAAGACAACATTTGCTCCTTGCTGATCAAAATCAATTTTGATCTAAGTTTTTCAGACAAATTTATCTTTGAGATACAAAAAAAACATGAGATTGAACACTATACTGCTTGTCCAAACTCAAAATAATAACAAGAGCAAAAACATTAGAGTTGCTTTTGTTTTTAGAGACACAATAAATAAAAAAGGTCTCAAAATTCTTTCTAAATCAATGAGAAGTTCAAAGAGAGTGTCCTTTCACTTCACTCAATGTAGCCGCTTTATGCACATAAAAGATGGAAGAGTTTTGACTCTCCTTTTTTCTCCCACCCCATTGCATCCAAAATCTAAAACACATGGTTCTTCTTGATGGGAGGGACACTATTTTCAATTTATCACTTGTATACGTATACAAATGGGCAGATAGCGATTTGGTACGTATTTTCGCTATTGAATAGCCGTAGACCCTCATAACAGAAAATTTTCGAAGTTGCCCCTCTTCGGTGGATAATTGCCTTATTTCAGGCAATGTCAAAGTCCGCGAACAAGTTCCCTTGCCCCTACATGCGAGCGTCGTATGTTTCACATGCTTTATATGGACATTGTCTCCCCTTGATTCTTAGAACACAATGAAAACATTCTCATTCATTTTGAGGATACAGTGAAAGGCTTTGACTGTGGACAATCTAAAGAAGATGGGTAAGGACATAGTAAATATTTGTTTATTTTGTAAAAGTGATGAAGAAAGTTGCTTTCATCTTTTCTTTTAACGTCCTGACTCTTATCACATATGGCAATGGGATATGAACTAAAATGGGTAAATATGATTATGCCGGGATCACTGGTACAATGGATGCAACAACTTAAATTGATTGGTCTTTCAAAAACTGGTGGCATGATTTGGGATATCTTTAGAGGTGAAATCATTTGGGAGTCGTGGCTAGAGAGGAATAGAATAACATTTGATGGCATATCTTTAGGGACTCAGGAGTTGAAATATAGAATTTTGAATTCAATTTGGAATTTGCTTAAAGTTACCAAGGAAGGCTTTGGGATTTCTAATTTTGATGTGTTCTCAAATATGGGTAATCTCATCGCCTATTGTTTTTTGAAAGGTAGACCAAGATTAAGATAGATACCACCAGCAGATAGAATTTTAAAGACTAATTTTGATGGTTCTTACCTTGGAAATCCGAGGGTAGCAGGTTTTGGTGGAGTATGTAGAGATCATATTGGTAATATTCTTTTACGTTATGCTAGACTGTGTGGTGTGACTACTACAAATCAAGTAGAGTTAGCTGCCTTATTACAAGGATTCTTGATTTGGAGAGAGAAGGGGTTTGGAAATACAGTAATTTTGGAAGGAGATTCGTTGAATCTCATAAATTGGTGCACCTGCATTGTTAAGCCTCCTTGGCGTCTAAGATCCTTGTGGCTTCAAGTGATGGATGTAGTTTCTTCGCTGGTTGTCTCTTTTCAGTATGTTTTTAGGGAGGCAAATGCGGTTGCTGACGATTTGACGAAGAAAGGGGGAAACCTTGACCAGGTAGTTATTTCAGATATCTTATTTTGACCAATATATGTTTTCCTTTTTAGTATCAATAAAGTCAAAAAAAAAAAAAAGCATTCTCACACTCAAATGTATCATCTTTGTTTTTTAATGTGAGATTAAACTTCTATTACTTCTCTCAATACAAAAGAAAAATATATACTTCAATTAATAGTTAATTTCAAGCGTACTTAGTAGTTTATTAGAGATGTTATTTTAAAGAGATATTATTTTAAAGAGATATTATTTTAAAGAAGATATTTATACTATAAGACCCTTCATCTTTGTTATAAGGAGGACAAATTGGATGGCGAGCATAATGCGAAGTAAACTGTTTTGAATTTTGAGTCTAGTCAATGTTACTCTTACAACCGCCTGATTTAAATTTGATGAACAGAAATGAGTGCAATCAGTAATTGTGACTCCCTTACACCAAAAATAAATAATCTCTTTTTACATTTTTCTTTATTTTAAAGACCACCCAATGCATTTTCATAACAAAGCACTTAGGAGTGTCACTGGCCCTGACCAGACCCAAGACCGGATGAGTAGACCTGACTTCGAATCCGGGTATGGATCCAAATTTTTGACCCGAATACCATTCGGGTCTAGGTCTAAGTCCGAGTCCGGGTCCGGGTCCGGGTCCTGCAATATCCGACCCATACCCATAGTCATAGGGTATATGATACCAATCTTATGTCTTTAAGCGCGTGCTAGGTGTTCATATTATTATAATATTGGTAATATTTACAATATTATTTGTCAAAAAAAACAAAAAGATCATAGTCATAGGTATATAATCGTAAAAAAAAAAAGCCAAAAAATAGAATCAATAATAAACTCATAATCACAAGGTGGCAATGGAACCCACCTAAGACCCAATGGGCAGATCAAATCCGGACCCGACCCGTTGCCACCCCTAAAAGCACGCGTGCTTTTTTTTTCCATTCCATAGTTTATCGATGACATGTAAGTATGGTGGCAATGCCACCCATTCAACTCTAATTTCATACCTACACGTCTCTCACTGTCTCTTGTATATGAAAAACACGTATAACAACCAACTTGTCCCTTGCTTGCTTTTGGTTGCCACGTGGAAGGCACGTGTCGTTACCATCCAAAACCAAATTCATTAGCATGCACATACAAAACAAGAGGGGATAGGAGCAATATGTTATCTTCCATTTCCCAAGCTCTAAAACTCCTCGAGCGCGCACATGAGCAAAATGTCATCCGCCATTTCTGCAGCAGCCGCAAATGCTGATCACAAGGTATCCTATCTTTTTTTTTTTGTGTTGATGTTCAAGGCTTTATTGATAGAAAAATTACACAGAAACAATTACATCATCAGATATAACAATTCCATCAGAGTAATGCGCTTCAAACCTGTTGGGTGATAAAAACACATAAAATTAAGCTCTTAAATCTAGCATCATAGTATACCACCACACTCCGCAGCGGACGTTATTGGCAGATCTCACTTTATGATGTCTCTCATTTTGATTTTATTTTTTTAGGTAGTCTTTTCGGTAGCTCTTTTTTAATATTTGAACTTGGGTTGCAGTAGTTGTTGCTCAGATATCAAATGTTAGGTACCTAACCAATACATGTCCAAATCCTTGATGGAAATACAAAAAGTTAGGCCTCAAACTACATAGGATCGTAACATAGAGAAGAGAGCCTATATTTGATGTTTGTATAGCATGCTCCTTGGCAGCACACTGTACTATAAGTCTTATGGGTTGATGTTTTATATGATTCTTTTGATTAAAAATCAAAAGAATTCTTATGCCTGCGCGTGAGTATATTGTCCATTTATTCCCTTGGATATAATATATGAATAGCTTTTAGATCTCAAATTTATGGGATGTCACCTCTACAATCCATAAACTAATATCAGAAGAGTTTTCAAAATAAACTCAATATATACTATAAAAAATAATAATGCCTCAAGATTGATTAGAGACCGTTCATGAATTCTTGAAGTGCTAGATCTAAATGTCAAAAAACTCAAAATTCAAATTTTCTCTCTTGAAAGTATGTAGTTTCTAAATTTTTAGACAAAAATAATTATTTACATAAGGGAGCAGATACACATTATGCTCCTGCCGGAGCATTAGTATATAACAAAAATTTTGGGATCCAAACATCGCTGGATGAGAAATTTTGATTATTGTGGGATCTTCCTCACGGGAAATTTCATGGAATCTCACCCAAGGAGAGAGATATTTTAAATAATGAATAGAAAAATATCTTAAATGTTGGAAGTGGTTTATTAGCATGTTTTATATAATTTGGATGTCGTTAATGAGCTTTGCTTCCCTATGTCTTACTATTATAATTTGGATGTCTTTAATGAGCTTTTCTTCTCTATGTCTATGTTTTATATAATTTGGATGTCTTTAATGAGCTTTTCTTCCCTATGTCTCTATTATAATTTCTGTTTTTTGGATCTTTCAAATTTCAAGAAATCAAATTTTTTCCAAGCCCATGTGTTATATAACCCTTTATTTTTATAAGTTTTCTTATTATAATTTTTGGTTTAGTTTTTTAGTTTTTATTTTATTTTCAATTTTTTGAAATGTTTTAGTACTAAAGTCCTGCATACTTTTTCTTTTCTTTTTTTGTTTTTCTTTTTTTTTTTTTTTTTTTTTTTGAGAAATGTTCGCTATTTAATTGGTAAAAAAGAATAATATGCAAGACGTTAAAGAAGGAAAAGTCCTGCATACCTCTCAGACGAGTGGAGTCGCCTCTATTACCTCGACTGGGGCCGGGGCAATCACGCTTGCTTTAAACTCGCTTTTATTATTTTATCAAATCGATCTGAAACGACCTTGATTTGCAGCAAGGACTCCAAATATATATAGGTTCCTAAGAGCTTTTCTTTTTCTTTTCTATAGTCGTAAAATTAGATAAGTTAGCTTTCACGACATACTTTCTCACGTGCATTTTATATTTTTGGACTTGAGAATCCTCAGATAAATTTATTATTTCTTTTTGCGTTCCCCAATTTGTGAAGTTTTTAACATTTTTAGACCTTTCTTTTTATGAGAAGTGGAGTATTTCTTTCAAATGAAATTCAATTGTCCTAGACTATTACTTATAAAGAAAACCCATCTAATGAAGGGATTGTATAGCATTTCTTTCAAATGAAATTCAATTGTCCTAGACTATTATTTATAAAGAAAACCCATCTAATGAAGGGATTGTATACAATGAGATGATTTATCTATAATACAAGGATTTCACAATTACATATAGCCATCTCTTGTAAAATCTAATAGCTTGGGTGTACAAATAGCCATCTGTTGTGAAATCTAATAGATCTGTGGTGAAATTTAATAGCTTCAGTGTCTGGGAAAATTTGTTTTGAAGTTTGAGATGGAATAAATGCAGCCATTCAATTTCACATTGAATCCAATGGATAAGATTAACTGGGACCACAAGCCTTTTTTTTTTCCATTTCAATTGTTTTCTTTTTTTAAAAAAAGCTTTTTCTTTTTTTTAACGATGAAGGCAGGAGGGGAAGGAGCAAAGGAGGTGAGAGTGGAGACCGTGGATTACAGAAGTTCTGCTGGTCAAGAGGACAAAAAGGTGCAGCCTATTGAAGTTGTTCACAAGATGACACATACTCCCGCTTCCCAGGCCAAGGATTCCACTGGTGAGGCACCCGGAAATAAATAAGAAGTCCAAAGAAAAAACGCGATTAGAGGAGTTGGTTTTCCACTTTATTTTATCGAATTCAACTCGTTTGATGTGATTTGAATGTTATGCAGGCTTTATTCGGTCTCCCTTATATTGGGACGTTCTGTCTACTGCTTTTCAAACCTCATCACAACTAGATTTTAAGGAGTGTTTGCCGCATACCCTCGCCCGCAAGGAAATGCCTTGCCTTTTATTTTCCGATCGGAAGGACAAAGGAAACGTCTTGTTGTTTCTTCAATAATTTATGATCTTTAGTGGACATCTCGGTAGCATTCGACTCTGATGAATGAAATTAACGCAAGTGTTTTCTACCTTTAACCATCCTCTTGACGCATACGCATGCAAACCCTTGATAGTCTTAGGATCCTATCAAAGGAAGCCTAAAATATGCAGGCATACTAATCGAATGTTGGGAGAGATGAAGTTATACAACATCAATCCAGCATGAGAAGTTAAAATTTGGTAGAGAGAGCAAGTTATACTAGATAAAGCCAGTGTGAGTTT